TGAATGCCGCTTTTCCAGGGACACACAGGGAAGCTTCTATGTAGCTGGTAATTCATGTTACATCTCGTAGTTCTTGTCTTTACTTTTATTGTGTTTTGGGTGTGACCTAACCGTGTCCTTTTTCTCACTCATATGTATTGCACTTCCAGTATGTAGATCTCCTTCTCGTTACGAAATCATCACTGATTATTATATGTCATCTTAGTGTGCAAGGAGTTGTTTTGTTAATGTTGTTTTTAGTGACAATATTTTTCCCCAAATCAAAATAAGAACATATCTCATCTTATGTTAACAGTATTATGTTGAAATTAGTTCTGTTTGTATTCTAAAACAAGACTAAGTAAAGTGAGTGTGCAGCTAATGGTTTTCACCTTTTTGAAACTACGTTTTATTCAATTTCTTTTGAGATTGTTTGGGATATGGAGAGGGCAGAAGATGTCTTTGAATCTGTGGGAAAAGAAAGAAAGGCTGGAGATTGATTGTCCAATGCCTGCAACCACATATAGGTTTTGAAAGTCTTACCTCTCCCATTTTTTTATTCTAATTGCTGGGATTCATTTTCAGTTAAGAAAAAGGATAGATTGCATAAGCTACTTAAATACTTGGATGGCACATAATGTCATTAGTCGTGCAAGACTTAGCTTGTTTTTCCAGTTCTCCTATTTCATCTTTTATTATGTTTAAGGTACCACATGTTAAATATGACTGAAAATTTGTGTTTAAGGTGTCACAGGCACATTATATTAAATACGACTGAACAGGAACCCCTTCATGCTGTTAGAGACATGTTTAACGATTTAGTTATTATCTACGAGAAGATGAGCTGGGTTCAGAGTACAGAACTGAAGAGGTCATTGTCAGAGGCTGTTCCCAGGCTCATATCAGTCTTGATAATGGCAGAATGTCTCCAAGGCAGGGACTGCTGTCAGGAGCAGAGCAGTTACATTTTTACTGGAGGAATGACCTGTTCTGGGACTTCAGTGGAAAGTCAAGCAAGACCCTACTCTGCGGATGAATTTGTTAGGTGAAGTGTGGACACACTGCCTTCACACCACAAATAATATTTTTTGGCTTGATAGTCATGGCTAGCTCCTGAAACAGAGAATGTTTAGAAAATGCAACATAGCTTGACTGAGGTGAGGACCACGGAATTTAAAACACCACTAAATCACTTTTGATGCCACTAGAGGTCAGCACTAGTCATTAAATAAATGTCCTGGAAAAATCTTATTGCCAGTTCTTCAAAGGGAGGAGAGATTTTTTTAAGAGATACACTGCTGTCTATGCTTGTTTTGCAGGTATGTGTGAACTCACACTGCCAGTGCTCCAAAATGGTCGGAAGCAAACCGTTTCTTCTCTACGCTGTCCTTCCCCATCCCTGTCCATGAGCCAGCAGTCCCCCATCGTTCCTTTCAAGCTATACCTGTCCTTGGATGCCATAGTGCTGCATACAGTCAGGGGAAAAAGGCAGTGCTGAGCCCGGTCCCAGCAAAGGCTTCCCACCAGCCTAAACAGCCCAAAACAGTTGACAATCAGCCTCCACTGCTTTAAGAACTGTCTCAGAAGTGTGGCAATGCGGAATTAGGCCCAAAGACAGGCACTTGAAACTGGGGCCAACTCACTATGCTTTTCCACCCAGTGCTTCAGAAAGATGCTTCCTTTCTATTGCAACTCCTAACTGTGTTTTCCATCATCGCTGTCTGGGCTTCTGCAAACACAGACACTGCTTACAAGATTTTAATACAGCTACTATTGATAGGCAGTCAAATACGGCATTTCCTTTGCTATAAAGAAGATAATATTGATGGGAAAAGCAGTGTGATCATCATGTTTTTAAACAACCTTTAAAAAATCTTTATCTTTGTTGAAACCTGTGAAATGATGCAAATCAGTTGGCAATCATAATGCAACAAATGTGTGTGATTTATTAACATGCTGCAATCTGTGCTTTCAGAGTATATCATTGTCCCCTTTAACATGGTAGCTGACTAGGTATCAATACACAATGTTCATGCTCAGTGTAATAGGAACACCTCTTTTACCAAAACTTTAACTTTTCAGTCACTTTGTGTCCCTTTTCTTCCAGTGAATACATCAGAGCTGGACAAAAGGCTGGACACGCTGTTCGGAATGCTTATATCTCAACTGAAATATTTTGTCATGTTTTGTAAGTGTCTGTATACATGCACACATACAGATGATTTATTTTCCTTCTGTGTTTTTTTTTTCCATGTTTCAGAAAACTGGCTCTGAAATATCATCCCGACAAGAATCCAGACAATCCAGAGACTGCAGAAAAATTTAAAGAAATCAACAACGCTTATGCGACACTGACTGATCTGTCCAAGCGAAACATATATGACAAGTATGGATCATTAGGGCTCTATGTGGCTGAACAGTTTGGTGAGGAAAATGTTAACACCTATTTCATGCTCTCAAGCTGGTGGGCAAAGGTAAGCTGTTATTTTCTGTTGAAAATCAAGTGTTACAATTCACACAGACAATTACATACACAAGGAACCCCCTGAAAAACATGATCTCTCTACATGCTTAACAAATAGTAGGATGTGAATCTAAAATGCTGCTAAAAGCTTAATTAAACATCAACATTATCTGGAAAATTGACAGCGACAGAATGTAACATCAGCTCAGAATTATGTTAATATAGAATGTTTTCTTTTTAACTTGGTAAATAGTTAAACAGAGTGCATGTTTTGTAACATTTTCAGACATTAATTACTAGATTTGAATCTAGTGCTCCAGGTTAATTTTGACTTTCTTTTCAGTAATGACTAAATAAAAATGACTCATTGTTCAAAAATGAGAAGTCCCACTTATGTGACAACCAGTTAATAAGTTATTACAGTACAAGTTTAGCTGTGTTCTTTGCTATATATAGCACACAGCATAAGTAAGCAATAATAATATATAACACTCTGTGATTGTGGTATCATATATGTGCCCTAGTGAGGGGGTGAGAGAAAAGAAGTGGAAAAAAAGGTGAGAAGGGTGCAGTGGAGGAAGAGAGTAGGAAAGAAAGAGAATGATACATCAAAAACTGGCATATCACTCAAGGAAAATCACATCATGGGCTGTTCTAGTCATAAAGGAGTTGTGTTCATGTGTTCTTCTATGTCACTGGTATCCTCTGATGTTTGCATATGTCAGGTTCCAGTGTTTCAGCAAATATTGAAATGTTACAGAAATGTAACAAACCAACAGAATTACAAATGTGCAAAATCCGTGCTGTCCCCACGTATTTCCAGCAACAGAAGCACAAGAAAGCAAGGACTCTGCTGGAATACACAGGAAAATGATCTGCCCAATGTGAGGCAGTCACACCATGTCAGCTTTGATCTGAGAACTGTGGAACATGGCACAGATCAGGCCAGTGCTTCACTGCCCCGCCGTCCCCTTTCAAACTAGGAAGTCGCTTGGGCAGTTTGTGGGTCTGAGAAGCCATAATTTGTCTGCTCAGTCAGGACGAGACGGAGGCTGCTCAGATGCAGAGCAGTGAATGAAACTAATGAATGCGCAAAGGTGCAGTTGGACCCTTGGAAAGCAAGCTGTAGCTGACTCCTGCTGCAGGCTGGACTCCCCACCACAGCCGCTGTCTTCTGCTGCTGGATCTTTCCCTCTCTTCTTTGCTGTCCACACTCGCCTTCTGCCTCTTTGTCACAGTTCAGGTGCTGGCAAACACTGCCTTAGAGCTGAGAGTCCAGCAGTATTGACTCCTTTAACAGTCTTGCTAAACAAGGTTTTCTTCACTGTTTGCTGGTTTTTTAGCTTTTTTTTCCTCTTCTGCTTACCGATTTTTAATGGAGGTTTTATGAAGTGTAAAATCCTTTGTGGTTAAAAAATCAGGAACAGAAATAACCATTGTGGCTTTGAGTCATAAGGAGACCACTGGAGAGTGCAGAGGAAGCTAGCAAGTCCCTAACAGCTAAAGGAGGAATGTATGGATTGTTGCAAGGAAGCTGTATCCCAGATGTGAGACGAGATATGTGGAATATCCCAGCAAAAGTAATCACTGCTTCCTGGTTTTTAAGAATTCTGTGAAAAAAAAACATCCAAGATATGCATATAGACTCATTTCAGCATTGTCACAGGTGGTCTTTATATCCCTCCCCTAACCCAAAATCTTGTCACCTCCAAAACATAACCAGGCCACCAAGTGTTTTTTGCAAGCTGAGCTCACTATTCCTCATCTCTTTTTAACTCATGCGTGAATGCTGGGTCAGTTTCAGATTTTTATATTGGCCATCATAATACAATTTGAGTCTGAGGCACCATCTGCAGATGACCTCTGGACCCCTAATTTGCTCCATTCTGGTAGAAGACCGTAGTGACCACAGCTTTCGCTCATTATCTCTTCAGCTATGAACATTCCTGATAAATCTTCTTCCCTATCACACTCATACTCAGAAAATCTGACAGTTGTGAGGAGGTGTATCATTAGGAGTAAGGAAACTCAAAAGAAAGGAGAAATGCAAAGTGAAAATTACTTTTTTTTCAGAGTACCAGCCTTCTTAGCAGGCATATTAAACTGGGAACATAGTGCCATGGGTAATGGGAACTTTAACTGCTTCTCGACTGGCAAGCATAGGCATTGTTCGTTTAACTGTCTTATCAAAAAGCAATTCTCCCTCTACCATGAAGACAATTCATTGATCACATCAACAAACTGATTCTTGATTTACCAACTATGATCACATAAGCACAAGAAATATTGGAATGTTATGATATCGTGGATGAATTAAGTATTTTTTTCTCTCTATACACTTTTATTCTGTACTTTTTTTGTTCTGTCCGTTGTGGTGATTTGTTCTCCATTATGGCATAAATGATAAACAGTCCAATAACTCACTTTAGGGGTTATGGCATTTAGAACAGTTTTGGGTGTCCATTGGAAGGAAAAAATTTTAAAAGAAAATGTCAGAGTCCTTCTTTTCATTTAAAACCACCTTGTTCACTCTTGATACATCCCTATATTAATATTAGGCATGTAAATAGTCCTACGACCTTCAAAGATGCTCCAGTCAGCCCCCACTAACATTGCCTAAGACATGGATACATAACTGAGTGTTATTTACATGACTTCATTGTCAAAGCTTGACAATATCCTGATGTTGTGCTTGCTTTCTGCCTCAGTGGCACGTTTTCTTAAAAGGTAACAAATAGTTAGTAAAGGGCAGACTGTATAACTATAACACTAAAGCCTGGCGGTACCTTCAAGTTAACTTATACATAGCCGGTTACTGCAAAACTGTGCTGGCTTTACATACACATTCCACATACCAGCCTTGATTCCCCTTTCAGGATCGTCACTGGCTTTCCTTTACTGTTACTGAGTTACTCTAATTTACAGAGCTTTTCTTCCTTTGGAGTTTTCTGGCTGTTGAATCCGGCTGAGATCCCTGGTCTCGGCCCCAGGCAGCTGTGCTGGCTCTGCTGGAGCCTCCACGCTTCGTGCCACAGGGACAGGAGTGAGCAGAGGGCGATGCGGGTGGGAACTTCTTGCCGCCTGAGTCACCAGACCAAGAACCACAGCCTGAGGATTTTAATTCAGCAGCTGTCACCTGTGTGCTCCTGCACAGGCTAATGGGGAGAGAAAGAGACAACCTCAACAGGCAATGCCAGTCCTCCCAGGGCTGAATCACCCTCGGGAAGGGCTTTCAGCTTACCACTGACTACGTGGGGAGCCCACGGGGGCCACAGTCCACATGTGGGTGCCTCAGTTCAGCGCCTAAAGTTATGTGGGATGCATCTGGGTCTTTGCTGCTTTTTCTCTCGGCTTTGTTATTGACAGGAACCTGCCAGTAAATAAGTGTTTGCAAAAATGATCTTGGGCAAATGAGTCATTTTTAAGATGGAAATGAGTCATTTTAGGGTGGGTGGAGTTTTGCAAACCACCTGGAAGTTTTTTCTGAGGGCCATGAGCTGGAGACAGACTTTCAGAAGTTGAGCGTGTGGGGGCCTGTTGGTTGGTGTCTTGCTTGTGGACGTGGTCCTGAGTGGCAAGTAGGTGTCAGTGGGTGAGGAGGACTTGGGGAGATCTGGCCCTTGTTCAGGCACTTGCCCAGCAGCTGGACTCCTCTGAGTGCCAAGCACTTGGGAACCTGAGTTCCTTCGACGATCTGCCTTCAGCTATCAGAAGCTGCCACGAGTCTCAGGAAGGTCGTTGCTCATGGGGTTTTCCTCCTGCTGTGTTTCACCCAGGGCCTGTTTGCAGTCTGTGGCCTGCTGACGGGCTGCTACCTCTGCTGCTGCCTCTGCTGCTGCTTCAACTGCTGCTGTGGGAAGTGCAAGTCCAAAGCACCCGAAGGGGAAGAGCAGGAGTTTTGTGTGTCTCCAGAAGATCTGGAAGAGCAAATTAAGAATGACATGGAAAGAGGTGTGTATTATAGGGTCTTACTGTGTGGCAAAGCTGTTCAAAACAAGCTTTAAAGCCTGTAGGCCAGATGTTCTGCTCACGGTGCTGAGGCTGCTTCCAGACACCAGTGGAGACATGCCAATTCACTCCAGCTAACACCATGACCTGATGAACTTCCCAAGTTGTGGGTTTATGAAAAACTAAACTTACGGCACTAACAAATAAATATCTCCTGTATCTCTTACGAGACACTTAAACATTAGAAGTCCCTGAGCTGATCTTAAGAGACAACATTCATCCTGTAGCCCCAATGCCCACGTTGCTTCATATCTTAGATCCTGTACTTATAGATTAGGCTTTGCCTGAACTGGTGCTTGCCACATCTGATCTGCCTGAATAAGCCATCACTCAGGTTTTATTTCTGTAAAATTTATCACTGACTGTGATGGGCCAACTGTACCCGTTCAAGAAAAGGCTTCAAGAAAAGATGCAAAGTTTCCAATGGTGAGGTTGTGCAGTAACCTAAGAGAGTTTTCTTGGAAGCTGCCATGGTCCTGCCCCTCTCCCATCCAGCCCCCAAGCTGCTCGCTCTCTTCTGCGCTGGCAGTAGCAATTGTGCTGCCTTACCGGGAGCCAGATCTTGGAAGTGATCCAGGTGAAAGCTAATCCTCTGAAAAATGTGTGCAGTTCCCGGCCCATTTAACTCCCTGCCGTGCTTCATGGTGGGGCAGGCCAAGTGCTAATGCTGCCTTGAAGAATGGAGCAAGAGTGCTCAGTCAGGAAGATGGGCCAGGGCAGAGAGACCCTCTGCACAGCATGTCACCCTCTTTTCTCAGCTTTGCTGCATCCCCCAGCTGCACGCTCAGGTTTTGGCTATAGCAAAGGGTGATGGTGGTGGTTTCCTAATTTGGCACTAGGGTGGGTTACATATTTCGAACAAAGGGCTCTGTCCTAGCCTGCTGAAGTGGGGCAGAGTTTTGCCTTCACCTTCAGGGGAAGCAGAAATATCTCCAGCTGCTTAGATTTGGACACTTGCAGGACAGGCTGAGAGGCGATGATCCTCACTCCAGCAATAAGAGGCCAAGCTTTCAGGGGAAGACCTAGGCCGTTTTTCAGTTGCAAATTTATATAAACTACAATTAGGATTATGCCTTTTTATGAGGAAGGACCTAAGCAGTCAGCTCACTCTCTTTCTCTTCCATTGTTATGAAGGTCTTACGCTGTTATATTCTTACATTCATTGTGCTTAAATTAGCACTGCCAGATTGCAAATGTCACATTCCCTTAGCAAGAAGAATTTCCCCCCCTCCAACTTTTCACACAAATTCACCCTTCCATAAATATGTAACAAAACACTTGTAGTAGTTGAAAGAAATGCTATTTATATAACTGATATGCCAACATATGGTCGTGTTTTTAAATTGGTTTTGCCTAGAGGCATATCAAGGTAAATACAGTCAGCCTAAAAACTGATCATAGTTAATCAGTCTCCGCAAAGGCAACAAAGACTATTAGTGAAAAGCACAAAAGCTATCAGTGAAAACTTTATAACCACAATGCCTTATTTGAAATAAATGTTGTATAGTCTATGACATTAGGTACCTGAAAGGTGCAAATCTAAAATGGGTCTTCATATGTATGGGTCTATGGCACCAAAGCCAAGTATGAAATATGAAGATGGAACTTTAAGGATAAGAACTTGTTAATTCTGCCTTTTTTGTAATTTGGCAGGTATTTTTCTCTCTCTCAAAATCCAGCACAAAATTCCCCAGTGGCAGAAAAAAAAATTCTCCCTTCTTCCAGCACAGGTGGTATTTAGTGGTATTCAGTAATTTTAGCCCACCTTCCCATCCCTTTACTCCCACCAAGTCTCAATGAGATATCAATTTTTAAAAATAATTTTAAATGTTTAGCAAAGTACCAGTCTGAAAAATTAACAGTAGGCAGAATTATGTGTTTTAAGTATTTTAAAGACAATATTTAGTACACAAGTGGGGCCTGAAGAAAACTAGATATTTGTGCCTTCCCTACCCTTCTCTTCAGTCTTGCTGCATTTTCCTACCGATCAAAACCAGCTTGCCTCAGTAGAGCAGAATTATCTGTATTTTAAAATTAGATTAAAAGAGAGCATCATATCAGGAATAAAAGTAAAAACTTCATGACAGAGGATAACGTGAGCATCTTTTCTACAGCTGAAAGGAAAATAGACACCGCATTTAGAAAAAGTAATGTTAAGCAGCTCAAACTGCACTTCCTCCCTCCCTCACTCCCCCTTCCTCCCCCCAAATTTTAGGGATGTTGGCCAAAAAGATGCAGATGACTTAGAATGGCAAAGACTGGGCTTTTCCACCAGATATTTTCAAATGTTGGGCCACAGAAATGAATACTCATGCCTACTTTTATGTAAATAATAGAAATGCTCCTGTAGGTAGTTCAGAAACAAGCTGTAATCACTCCTGCAGCAGATTTCGTTTTGGAAGAGGAAATCCTATTAGGATCCAAATTCTTTGCATGCTCTCTGCCCACAGACTGAGCATTCTAGCTGGTAGTTAATTTATTTGCTTCCTGCTGTCCCCAGTATCTATATTATTGCTAGCCAGAGCTTTTTTGCTAAGGTCAAAATGTAGATTCTCAAGCTAAGGCCATACTTTAATTTATCCAAATATTTTGTAGTCAGTCATTGCTTTTCTGAGGAATGCAACATCGATAAAATATCACCATTCTCAATGCTAAAAACCTGAGAGTGAGCCTCTGTCAGATGTTGTTGCACTCAGTGGGAGCTGCTTGGAACCAGCTGTACTGTGCAAAAGGAGCAAGATGTGTGTTGTGGAGTCAAGATTTAGACTTCATCTTTTGGATCCTTTGAATTGGCACAACAGTAATAATTTTCAGAGTCCCTCACATTTCTCCTTAACAAAATTAAGGTGTCACACAGTTGATTTCATTCTTCAAATTAGCATACCATAAAACATAATTATTAATGAGAAAAAGAGATGTGAGGCAAAAACTTCAGTGATCCATTCCCTGAAATACAAAATAAAAGTTGTCACTGAAATCAACACAATCCTGTCAAAGGCTTCAATTCCATTGAAATGGCATATTCCTCTAGAAGATTTATTCAAATATGTTTGACTAATCGTAGTGCTCAGCTAGTTGAATGTCTCCCGTGAGAGATTCATTTCACAGCATGTACTTCCATGGCTAGCATGACCATCAGAACTAAAGGAACTTAGGGATCTGCAAGCCCTGGCCCATGCTTAGGTTACAGTGATTTCTTCTCATGTCTATTAATCCGTACCACAGAGGACTGTGGCCTAACACACAACGGATGATCACTTTCCAAAATAAGTATTACATTTGGATTATTACATTTTAGACATGGCATTTTTTAGGTTTTCAGATCAAACATGACATTTTAAAAGTGTAAAGTAATCTGTGGTATTGTGCCCTGATGTTATGGGTGACCTGCAAAAATGCACTGGCAGAGGGAAGTATCACTCACTCGTCTGCAGCACGGACACGTGCAACAGTTCATCGCCTTCACTTGCACACACAGGGCAGGTGGCCAGATTTTGCTTCCACTGAAGTCAATGGCAAACCTTTTGTCGACTCTTGTGTTCCCAGAGGATGTGCCACTGGAATTTGGATTGCCTTGGTACCTCAGGCTGTAATGATGTGCTCAAGCAGTTTGGCAGTGTTGTTCGCCTCTCCTTTTTGGTTATTATCGTAAGAACAAAGCAAGGCATTCTAAACCAACTTTCATTTTGCAGAAAATGGAATCTGTAAAAAAAAAAAAAAAAAAAGGAAGAAAAAGAAAAAAAGAACCTGAATAACAAAATACTTTCCCAACTCAGAAGCAATAAGTTTTTAGCACTTCATTGTCTCCTCCGCACTCCATATGATACCAATGTAGGCGAACAGTGAGCAAGAGCTATCTATAGAAAGCAGTTTAAACTGTGAATTCTGCCGCACCTCCATTCTGCAGCTCTCCATTAGCAGGCTATATTTGTACAGTTTATTATACCATGGGTCCCTGCTCTGATAAAAACCACCATAAATCTTAGAAGGGCGCAGGCAGCAAAATGCTTGGTGAAGGTGTCAGTTCAGAACTGTCTGCAGATCAGCTGGAAGGAATGCGACAGATTTGCAGTGGGCCCTACTCTCTTGTTGCACATCTGGGTATCACCACAAAATGAACTGCTAGTCTCTGCCCTCCACCAATGATCTTCCGGAAAATGAACAACTCGGAGGCAGCAGAGGGTGGCAGGGAGCGCGGCTCAGAAATCGAGAAAATACACAGCAACTTAAAAATGGATTGGAAGTGCCAAACTAATCGGAGCCCAAGCTGAGTTCTAAACCTTCATTACTCATATACTTTTAGAAGTTATGAAACATGTCTGTCTTTGACCTTGTGTCTAAATATGGAATTGCCCATACAGAGAAGTTGCTTGGCATTTAATCATTCTTGCCTTTCACCTTGACAGAGTCAAAGTTGTTCTACCCCCACCGAGGGGAAGCCGTATGGCGTGCAATTAGATTCCTGCTCTGGGTTAAGTTACTCCTGTACATTACGTCTTTTGCCCATGATTCATCCCATCAACTGTCATGTAAACAGTGGGAAGTATCAGATGAGGGTTTTTTTCTGAACATTTGGTCATTTGGCAAAAAAAGGTCATCATTTATGTTCAATTGCTGTGAAGGCTGTACTAGTATCAAGATATAGATAGTCCAAAATTTTTCGTATGAAAACATTTCACTGAGATGGATTAACCTTTAAAAGTCTGTCTCTGAGTCCTGAATCCCCTCCTCCCCTCCAAAAGCAGTGGGTTGGAAAGAGGCCCAGGAGAAGGGCAGCCAAACCTTGTTCATTATCAGAGGGAACACAACAGCCATCAGGCAACTCTGTAAGGACTTCTCCACTCCACAACAAGCACTGTTTACAGATGTATTGGGAAACCAAACACATAACTGCATGGAATGAGAAAGTGCAAAGCAGTAAGGATTTATATAGTGATAATATGAGGTTTTGGCAGTTCCAAACTCATTAAAACAGTCATCCTCAAAATCCCGTTGTATATATATTACATAAGACTTCAAAACACAATTTAACATTTTAATTTATTTTTTAATTTAACTAGCTTTCAGGATATATGTGACTTCTTCCCTCTCAGGCATATTACCGCTCACGCATTTTTTTCCCTTTTAACTCTCCTCTTTCTTTACTGTTAGCTTTGCCTGCTTCAAGACTCATTTCTGGTCCGTTCTCGCAAGTGCTGTCAAGGTTAGTGCTTGCTGACTCACAACAGCTCTCATTATATTCAGACATCTGCAGGAACAAGCCCTGGCAACTGGAACAGGCAGGGACCCTTATCCTGCAATCTATGCAAAGCACCAGGTACAGCTAATGTCCAGTTTAATAATAACAGCAACAGTCACCCAGAAATCTGCCGTTACACATGGACAAGGAGTAAGAGCATTTGTAGACGCGGTGTGGGCATTGCTGCCTCTCCAGTACGCACGTGGCTTAAGCCATAGCCAGAACAGCAGATGAAATGTTGTGCTGCTAACAAGGAATCTGACTTTGGTAGTGAGTGAAGCATTCTTAAAGTATTTTTTGTCCTCCTCCCCAATTTAGATGGAGAAACTCCTATCGTGCTTCAGCCGACTAACGCAACCGAGAAGACACAGCTAATAGGGGACAGCCATCGGAGCTATCGCACAGACTCCTAGAGCAGGCAAATAGGACCTGTTGATGCTTCCCACTCAGTGTCACAGCGAGAAAAAGTACGTGATAAGCCCTGCAGCCTGTATTTGTAGTTGTTTTTAAATTAATCAAGACTAACCTGAGAGTAATTTCCTATCAAGGCAGAATCTCCCTTTAGGCCACTTCCAGTAGGTTGATATCTACACTCTGCAAAGAGATGCTTACCGCCAGTACAGAGCTTTACAGACCAGCATGCTGGTCTCTCACGGCTTCAAACTGCCAGGCTTGGCATATTCCTTCCCTCTAATAATACTCCTTTCGGTATAGTTGCTCTCCTCCCTGCTCTCAGCTGTGGTTTCACCTCCCAGACACATTCCCAAGTCCCTTTCTGGACACATCAGCTCCGTCTCTCCCTGCCCCGGAACGCTCCTCGCATGCCGCAGTTTCGCTGGATGTGAAACGTTCCTGTGAGGGAGCCTTGGAAATGCTCTTTAGCAGACCTCGGAGGAAAAGCTGGTGGCAAGGCAGATGGGGATGTCCTCCCCACAGAGAAAACGCTCTTTGGAAAGCAGCTAGCGGCTTGCTGGGGCCCAGCCTCGGTAATTATAAACCTCAGCTAGGACAAAGCACTCGGGGATCGTTCTGCTGGTGGTTACAATGCAGGTCACTCCAAATCCAGAGCCTCATCCAGCACCAGAAGCACACTTAGGTTCTGTGCCTTCACCTGCACAAGCTGCAAACCCGGGAGACAGTGGGCAAACACCCCGTGGAGGGGGAGGCTGGCCTTGGGCTGCCCCAGAGCCTCTCTCATCTCCCTGTAGCCGGCAAAGCTCCCCTGATCCTGCCTGAATGGGCTTGCTGCCCATGCCAGGCATCCCCAGCTTCTCCTGCTGCAGCTCCAATGGGCTGGAAATTGGTCCCCAGCCAACAGCTTTCTGCCGGCTTGCTTATTCCACTGTGCCCCTGGCTGCCAGCCCCGCTGCCCCGCTGGCACCAGGCTGGGAGCCATCGCGCCAGCGCTGGCACCGGGGCTGTGGGAGCAGCAAGGGCTTGGCAGCGCAGGCAAGCAGCAGAGGAGCCACTGTCTTCTCCACAGCCTGTCTCAGTGGTGTGAGCCTGGGTCCTCCCCTCTGCCCCAGGCACAGGGGCTTGAAGAGCACGTGGCGTGAGTTTAAATATAGAGGTGGGGATGAGATGTATGTTCGGATGTACCGCTGAACAAATCAGTGGAGATACGTGCGGGTACAGCTAAAGCAAACATGAAGAAATCAGGCCCCTAATTTACAAAAGCTAAAGAAATACCTCTGAGATCTTCAGCTTAGCACTTGACTGGTTTGACAGACTAGTTTAAGCCTCAGACAGCTGAATTTCTCTTTATTGATCATGTTACATCAATCATTGTCAGTTCTGTGCATTTGCTATTTTTGCTCCTCTAATCACAGTGCTGCGGTCCAACGGGGGACGTAATGTACCACTAAATTGTATAGACCGGTGAATATATAGCTAGTCACAAGTGTTATTCCCTTGCTTAAAATTGGATCCTGCAGTTGTGAAACAGTGTTGTCTTCCTTCTATTCTCACCTTTCACATCAAATGTCATTCAGTGGCAGCTAAATATATGGGAAAAGAGTGTGTTTCATCGCACTGGCTGTAACTCCAAAGTCAAGAAATAGTACTTTGAACATTTCTTTAAAGTTCCCATAGCACATGGACATTTTAAAAGCCATTAATTCCAGTTCAGGTTATATCTCTCTTCTTCAGGCGCAGGCACCAGGGCTTACATTACCCTCAGAAATAGCCCTATTTTCCTGCTTCGAAGAGGGGAAGTCCTGGCATGGCTGGGGCTGCACCCAGGCACTCGCTCCCCTCCCACCCATGGGCTTCTCTTTGTACTCAGCTGCATGTTGCAAATAATTTTGGATGCCACTGGTAGGTACGTAAATCCAGATGGCATCCTGCCTGCCCAGCGGTGCCGCGGGGATGTGCCCGTCCATCCCGGTGGTCCCAGGGGAGGGGAGCCAGGGACACCATCCTGCTGCAGCGGCAGTGTGACCCCAGAAGGTGGAGGGGTCTGGATCAGACGGCGCGTGCCTCGGGGTGCTCGTGCTGTGGGACTGGGACACCGGCACCCACTCGCCCCAGCACGTGCACGCAACTTGTGGCTCCCTTCGCTATTCCCCTTTGCTCGGCGTTTGCTCTGGTGTAAGGTGTTATCACCAAACGGAGGAGCAGGGAGAGCACCTAGTACATAATAAATCTGCAGGCAAAGCGATTTCCTAAGTTTCACAGTCTGGGGGAGAAATTCCCCGTCAAAGTGTGCAAATGCCACTTAGTGGCTATTATTTCCAGCAGACAGCTGGCAAAGGCATCGGGAGAAAAGTCTAGTGTAAAGCCACCCATTATACGTGGAATCCTTCCTCGTGTGAAATCCCTCCTCCTGCTCCCATGGAAGTCACTGGGCATTGCACCCTTGATTTCAACAACAGCTACAGAGCAAGCCTAAAGCCAGGGAGGGAAAGGTAAATCCCAGATTAGCAAAAGCAGTTGGGGAATTTTCTCACATGCGACACCTTTGATATCCCTCAGGACCCCACTCTATGGGCCACAGCCAAAGTTTTCTGGAATCAAGGAAATGATCTCCATGGGCTTGAGATGTACCGCAAGTCATGTAGTTCTTATTCGCTCTTGCTAAATGAGAGATTTTTCTTGGGAAAGGTTTATGACTCAATCTCGTGGTGTGATGCGAAGCTGGACAAGCTGCTGAACGTTTGCAAAGCCCTTTTACAGGCATGGGGATCTGTACAGCAGAGCCACAAGGTAGTCTCTCAGTTAGCCAAAAATCCCAGAAGAAACCAGTGACCAAGCCTCTGAGGGGGTTCTCCAGGACTTGCAGCTTAAAAATCCGAGTGTCTGAACCCATGGTTTAATTCCAAAGAGGAGGTTTAGTTTTCAGAGTACCAGGGCATTTGCCTCTTTCTCTGCTGTCAGGATCAGCTGTTCTGAGGACACGTGCGGAGAGGATGAATAAGGATTTCAGGACTTAGCTCTTCAGTGTGATTTTACACATTTGTTTGCTTTTCAGAAAAGTTCCTAATGTGGACAGAGCTACACTTACGTGATCTGTTTCTGTGTAAAGTTCAGTTGCACACCCATTAATCTTCTCTAAATGTACAGATGCTCAAAATTTTGTTCTGCTTTGCTGCATTTGTTCATATGTAAAATACTATATATTCAAATCTGCCTTTGCTGTCAACCACTCTGACTAATAAAGGTTGTACGTATGAAATGTAGCACACCCTCACTTTTCCACGCTACCAACAACTTCATTCCGGTAACAGCTAGAGAAGCTGTTGAGACAGCTGTCCAAAATTATGTCTTTGAACCCTGACAAGTGTGCAGGCGGCAACTCAGGGTTTCCCCGAAGAGGAACTCGGTCTTGGATTGCAGCAGATGGGCCTGCCTATGCAAAGCAGCCAGAGCTACAGCTGCACGTTGCAAACACGTCCTTTGCAGTGGGACGAGGTGATGTAACACCATGGTTTTACTGGCACCAGTGCCCATATGGAAAGACTTCCCCCAGCGAAAGGTGAAATGGTGATGCTGCTGAGGAAGATGGCAGCCGTCCCGTGAGCTGCCCCGGGGCCGGCATCTCGCTCGGGGGTTTCACGTCTGCCCGAGAGCCAGCGCAGGTGCCACATCATCTGGGCTTGCCGCGGGACAGCAGCATTTCTCCCTAGGATGGTGTCCAGTATCTGTGACCACAGAAGCCCAAGGACAAGGGGCAACTGTTTCGGCTGGGTGTATTCTCAAAGAGCTGTCCTTTTGTGTGTTTAGATATTAGCTCACACCCAGATTCAATCAAATGACCAAACGGAAGAGGCATCATAGAAGATTTAGGCCCACCACCAACAAAACCAGTTATTTAGGTAGTCTGTGCACTTTTCTCCCCATAGCAAACTTGTATGATAAACCACTCTGCTTAATCCAAAAAACATCAAAGACAGCTGTATGCCATTTAGTTTCATTGCTTACTTTCTCTCAGAGCAAATTCCCAAGATATGGGTATGGTTTCAGTCAAAACGAATCACATTTTTACCTCTTTTTAGAAAAAAATCATTAAAGAAAAATGAAGCATGCAAAACTGAGCACAGTCAAAATTACTGATTTTTTTTTCTGTACTATAATTTTCCATAGAAAAAAAATATGTTCATTGTGCTGTTACAAAGCAGGGAGAAAGACCACAGACAAGAGTAATCACCTTCCTTCCCTCCATGCACTAAAGTCAAGTAAATTGTCGCACGCGGCACCTCCCGTCACTTCAAAAAACAGAGAATCGTAGATAGGATCATAGAATCGTTAAGGTTGGAAAAGACCTCCAAGATCAACAGGTCCAACCGCCACCCCAGCACCACCACGCCTGTCAAGCCGTGTCCCGAAGTGCCACATCGACACGCGTGAACGGGTACAAAGTTCCACGCAAGAGGACTCCGTCCTTCGTGCCAGCGTTGCCCGCCCCGGGGCTGAGGAGGCAACAGTGTGGGACAGCTGCGCGGTGGCCGACACGTAGAAGGGAATGTCCGCAAGACGCTGGCGAAGACCTGTGCTTTCCCGCTGTTGGGGAGAGCGGACACGTGCTCAGTGCCACCTGGCTGGATTTGAAAACGTACTCCTCTTGCAGCAGTACATCGGTGTACAGGTACTGCCTGGTTCTGGGAAAATGGCACCCAGGCATCGCGGGGAGAGGAGGCGAGGCATGGAAAAAAGCCCCTCGGAATTTCAACAGCCTGATTAACCGCGATGAGACGAAGGGATCTCAGCAGGCATCCTCCTGCGCTAACTTGCTTTGTGAGGGTTTGCGGTAAGCTGGAGCAGGAAGATTGTGGATCTTGTTTTCCTTTGGCGTGGTGCTGGCAGGCACAGGGCTGGCACTGCGTCCTCGGCTCCCGCAGCAGCCGCTCCT